GGCTGTTGTTTGGAAATGTTGTATATCAGTGAATCATAAGCAGCTTTCTTTTGGGTTCACTGATAGGTAATAATAAAACAGTTTCATGAAATGTTTCCGTGGATTAGTTCCTATGTAAAAGCCATCATAGAATCAGGGTTTGAAGTTGGTTTGTAAATAGCTGTTGAAAGCTTTTAGGGCTTATAATTGAATTTAGTTTTTACAGTGTTGAGTTTTAAGTGATATATAAAAGTGTTTATTAAAATGGCTAACAATCTGTAATAATCTATAAAACTATATCTAATCATTATATAGAGAACTGAAGTGGGTTTATTTTTAAAATGGAAAGAAGACTGCAGAAGTTCACTGCATTCGTGGAGTTCACTGCGCGTTCGTGGGTTCCACACTTCTCTGCATGTCCATGTTTTCATCTTGTTCTGTCTTCATCAGTTTCTGTTCAGTGAGAGTATTAGGATTCAGCCTTGTCATGTTGAGCATCATTCTTTCCATCTTTCTCTTTCATTTCTTTAACATAGACCTGGTGTAAAACTGCTTATTTAACTTTCTGTTTCTGTTAACCTCTATTGTCTTGGCTTTTTTTCGTCCTTCATTCTTACCAGAAAATTGATAAAATAAAGGACAACCTGTCCCCATTCTTTTTTTTTTTTTTTTTTTTTTTTTTATGCCTTTGCTTGCCTGGCAGTATGGGTGGAATTCACTTTTTGAGACCGAGCCTTATGAAATTGCCCAGGCGAGCCTTGGATCCTTCTGTTACAGCCTCCTGGGTATCTAGGATTGCTTTCTCATACCACCAGGCTACACTAGCCGTCATTCATTCATCAGCCATTAGTTGCTGACAAGAAGTGGTGAAGCCAAGATGCAGCCTGTGAATGTTTAACTGTTGTCTTTGCTTCACGGTCCTTTTGTAAGTCTTACATATTTATTTTCATGGTAAGTTTGCTTCATTTCCTCGCTCCATTTCCACTCCCTCAGTATGTTTTTCTGGTCCCTGTTTCTTCTTAAAGCCATACCTTGTTTATGGCCTCTCCTTCATGTTATTCTTTATTTTTTTAAAATCTTGGTTTGCTTCAGAAGGCAAAAATATTGATAGCTGCCCATGAAACGGGAAATAATTTGTAACATGTGTATTCTGACTTTTTGGTCTGTAGATTTTATGAATATTTTGAAATAATTTCCTTTGAAACAGGACATTAAAGAGAGAATGAGTTTTATTATGTTAATCCATTTTTAAGGAAATCATGTTGTTTCCTTCCTTTCTTTGTCTGTATATAACAAACAACTTTAATGCTTTCTATTTTGTCTTTGGTGCACTAAATACCAACTAGCATATTGTTAGATATGACACTTTTTAATGAGTCATTGGATTAGAAAATAACTCTTTTTGTCATTGCATATAGATATGCTTCTATTTACATATAGATAGTGAAGATGAATAATTTATTGAATGTTATTAGAGCAGGCTGCATATTGGAGATTACCAGCAAGGCATGAGGAAATCAGCCTGGAGCTCACATGAAAAAGTACTCTCCTTTTGCACAGTCATTCTTGACCTCCTCAGAGAACTGTGTGTTTCCCGCCAATCTCCTTCATCTCTTCATTAGCTGGACCTTGATTGAGGAGTTCATCTTATCTTGAAAATCTGTAGGATTTGGTTAGCCAAATCATAGTTAGACTTTGGCTATACTTAACTGTTACAACAGACATTGTCAGCCTAGAATCCTGTTCTAGTGGTTAGTGCAGCAACGGCTCTGACTGATGGTTTCCTTGTTTCTGGTTTTGAACAGTTGTGTCTTCAGATGTTTAAACAGTGCATCTTTGTGAAATGAAGGTGTGGAAACATGTGTAACATCATTTATATGTTTCTCTTATTGTAAGAGAATGCTTCAAAAAAGTTGCATTTGATTTGCTTTTTGAATGATTATGTGTTTTGATCCATAGAATATGCCCATAAAACAATGGCAAAGCTGGACAAAGGTCCACAGCAAGTATGCCTTACTGAGGAAATTTACCAAAAGCATTCAACCATAAGTTGAAAAGGTATCATTTGTGAATATTACTGATACATGGCTAAGAATAGTTGTATGCTGTATTTGTGCTTGGGCTGCTCCCATTTCCCTTCTTGACATCATGGACAGGAACATTCTTACTTAGAAAAAGCATGTGTAACCTGGTGTCTTTGTTGCCGTTACAGAGATGACTCGGTTGATAACTGTTAGTTATGGTGGAGATCTTGATGACCAGTGAGAGAGCTGTGTGGTTCTGTTGCATTGAAGCTACTGGTCAGTTTGATGTAAGCAAGGTACACCAGCTAGTGCACTAGCCCTGGCTCCAACAGAGAATTTCAGTTAGTGAGACAGTGATACAAACCTAGAGAAATCCCCCAGACTCTTCACATTACCTGGCGGGTGTGCACACACATGGAAGAGATGGGAATGGCCTAGCCTACCCACTCTTCTCTGCCTGTTTGCACAGTAAGAGAAGGCCAGAGTGGACTTGTAAGAGCCCAGGTTAAAGTAGGGCTCACTTGAAAATGGCCCATACTCTTCTTTCTTCAGTCTATGCATAGACGTATCAGTAGATGCTAGGACTATTATTTGCTCATGTTATTTTGAGCAAATGTGTTGTCAATATCTGACTAGTAGGAAATTGTGCCTATACGAAGTTAACCCCTATAAAGCCGTGCTTAAAAGAAAAAACAAAACAAGCATCCCTGAAGGAGGAGGAGGAGGAGATATATTGAGAGCTATTTATTGGAGAGAGGGTAAGTTTTATAGATTTAGTTTGGAAAGCCACTACATTTAAAAAAATGGGGAATCTAAGTTTATATGTACTATAATGACGTATCTAAAATGTCTGTTTTTTTCACAATATATGATTATAGGAGCCAAGAGACTAGGAATAATCCAAATCTCCCGCAAAATTTTTAATATTAATTGTCCTTAATTTTGATGAAAAATGTGGGATTTAGAAGGCAAGAATTTCAAAAATCCAAGTAAAGCCATGTTATGAAAAATAAAGTAAAAAATGACAATGACTTGAACTCATATTAGAGAGTAAAAATTTAAAAACAGAAAGGTTTTGTCTGCAGACAAAAATGAGCAGTATCTGAGTGAGGTGCTCATTGGAATGACTCAATTCCAGATTTTTTATGGCAGGAGAGAAAAATCAGTAAGTTTTACAGTGGATTTGGAGGAGTCATCCCATCCAAGAACCAGAAGTAAAATGAACAACACTGTGAATGTTTATCCATAGTTGTTGACTAAATAAAGGGTATTTAGCTAGTAAAGCTCTGTTGGTTCTCTGTGCTGGGAGGCTTTGCGCCATCCCTATTCTGCTGAAAGGGAAGCCCATTGATTGAAAAAGCTACAATAGTCATGTTCATTTGTGAAGATGCTTTCAGAAGAGACTGGCACGTGACATGAGGGATTGAGTCATATCATTCACTGGGTATGGGTGGGTATCTTCTGGTTAGCTGGAAACCTGAATTAAATAAGAAAGCTAAAGAAATGTTAGTGTCTGACTGTCTGTTTCTAAGATCTGAGACTTCCTTATCTCTAGTTCTTGGACATTGCAAGTCTAAATTTATTGACCTTTAATTTCTAGCACTCCTATCATCTGCCTACTGGGCTCTTGGCATTTGATTTTAGCCTGGAAGTTATACCATCAGTTTCTTGGTTCTGAAGGCTTTTGCTGTGGACTGAGCTTTCCATGGTGTTGTTCAGCCTCTATAATGAAGTGATCCAGGTTTTTTTTTTTTTTTTAAATAAATCATATTTTACCTCATATATCTATCAGTTCTGTGTCTCTGAAGAGCTTTAAGCACCTTTTGGGCACATATCTGCCATACAGTAACAAATGTATTATGGGAGTTGCAAAAGAATAAATAGAAAAAAATGACAAAAATTTGAAAAAAAATTCCTAGATGAACATCATTTTATGAGTTCAAAGAGCTCTTAGTCCTATAAAGGCTGCTACAGAAATCCACACCTGTACCCCAACAAACTAATGAAAAGCAAAGTGAAGTCTGGGAAGCATAAGGGAAGAAGTGGCTTGTTACGTTTTTTGGAACAGCGGGTTAATAGTTGACATCCGATCATGAACAGTAGCACCACAGACAAACTGATATCCAGCACACAGAAACAGCATCAGTTTTATATCCAGCACAACTATCCTCTACAAATGAGATATGCAAGTTCTTTCTCTGTGATTTCTGTATGTCTGAAATTACTTCAAAGTTTTTAATACACATTTTTAATGTGTCTTAGAAATAATTTGGTTGCATTTTCTACAAGTAAACTTGAAATGTTTTGTTTGAAAATACCTAGTCTTAAGATCTACAAAGATACACATCTCTCTCTTTCTCTCTAGTATATACTATGTTTATGTATGTATATATAGATACACACATACAAACATATATGTATATGTATGTATATATACACATACAAATATATATATATATATATATATATATATATATATATATGCACTACATACCCTATACTACACTATGACATGTAAGTGTGTGTGAGGCTGGAGGGAAAGAGGAGGGTAGGAGCAGGTGACTGTAGAAAATATCAGCATAGGTAGGTGTTCAGTGCTGTTCTCACCAAGTGTTAGTTACTATCCATATGTCTTAATGCTGTCAGAAAACACTGGTGGGCCTAATGCCCATTTAAGCTCTTTCTGTTGCCTTATGGTGTCTGGTCAGAGTAGATTGTGTTCACCTTTGTGAGCTTATTTTAAGGAGCTTTTCTCAAGTGTGCTGTGTGAATGTGCATGTGCTGTGAGCAGAGCATTGGGAAGTATGGTCAGTCTTTGAACATAGTAGCTTCTTTTTTCCCTGTATTTTTTATGTTCAAATGATCACATCTTCTCTAAGGTGGTTTTTCTCCTATAAGAGAAAAATATGGAATACAATCATGAACATATTTTTTAAAACAGTAAACTACAGTGTATTTGCAGGGCATGCTAACTTATGTCTTGTGCTTGATTTGAAGGTCATTCAGTGAGGCTTCTGGGCCAGAAGAAAGACAATGGGAAGCGCTTGGGGGGAGCAAGGCTGGATTTGCCGAAGATCAGGAAGAATCCTCTGATAGAAATCATTTCAATCAACACGGGGTGAGTGTCTCTCAGAGCTGCGCATGACATAATGGACTCCATACAGTTCAGCCTGTATGTCCTTGGACATATGCCACCAAAAGGCAGTTGAATATTTTCTTGGGGAAGGAAGATCACAGAAAGCACTAAAGCTCTTGAGTATAGTTTCCTCTAAGATGTGTTCAAAGTGCATGCATGTTTGAGGCAGGATTTTATATTTTTGATATCATTTTTCTCATTTTGGGCAATAAACATTTCATTTTGCAGATATACTCTTGGATAAAAAAATCTTGTAAAAATCTACAATAAAACAATCTCAAGGCTCCCATTTGTAATCCTAGAGTATAGTCTAGAGTTTAAAATCTGTCTGTGTTATATAGTGAGCCCCAGGCCAGTGTGAGAGAGACCCAGTCTCAACCCTTCACCGCCCTTCTCCAAATAAAAACAAAACAAAAATGTTGGAACAGTCTCAGAAAAGGCTAGTAATACAGTGTGTATCACTGCTTTTACCATAAGATTCTGGTAGAGGCTGCTACAAATACTAACCATGTTTGATCATTTGTTACTGGAATATGTATTTTAAAACATTCTTCTTTTTTTTAAAGATTTATTTATTTAATGTATATTAGTGCTCTATCTGCATATACACCTGCATGCCAGAAGAGGGCATTGGATTCCAGTATAGATGGTTGTGAGCTACCATGTGGTTGCTGGGAATTGAACTCAGGACCTCTGAAAGAGCAGATAGTGCTCTTACACGCTGAGCCATCTCTCCAGCCCCTAAAACTTTCTTCTTAAAACAACCCGGGAGTGAATAGTAAGTGCTCCTTCAGTTACCACTGCTTGGTCTGAGGCCCTCTCAAGCCACAGCCCATTTTTCTCCTTACTCATGCTTTGTTCACACTTCTCGGGCTTCCTTTCCTTAGTTAGGTTTCACAGGCAAAGTGTTAATTTTCCTCAGGTTTCAGGAGGACTTAGATTCCTGAACTCTAACAGTCGTTTAACACCCCGGAGCCTGGCCATGAGCTAACTTTTTTCCTTCCATTCCCATTGCAATGCAGGCACATACTTGAGACACTGTTGTCCACTTCGGCACCAGCCAACTTCTTAGTCTTCCCTGAGTCTGGCTTGCCATTGGGTTTGCATTAACATCCCTCTGGGATGGCATTTAACCAATTGGGGAATCTTTTATGGAACAAACTTTTGGCTTTCAGCATTGATGGTACAGAAAGAAGCCTGGGCAGAAACTCAGAACCCAGAGTAAAGCAGTGGTGGCTGCCTGAACCCATTATCTCCACAAGGCTGTTTGCAGCTTCCTTCATTTCAGCTATTCTTTACTTTTCCCTCAGACACCAGAATGCTGCTGCTTCCCCTTCCTCCCCTTCTTCCTCCTGCTCGTGTGTATGTGTATGTGTGTGTATGTCCTGAGAAAAATCTTGAGGTCCTGTTCCTCAGGAGCTATCCACCTTGTATTTTGAGACATGGTTTCTCATTTTGCCAAGTAGACAGGGATCTGCCAGCCCATCTCTGCCTCCGAAAGCTTGAATTACAAGCACACAACACGGTGCCTGGAATTTTTATGTGTATTCTGGAGATCAGACTAAGATCTTTGTTTTGCAAGGCTGGAACTTCACCAACTGAGCTATCTCCCCACCCTCTCAATAAGTGTTAGTTAATTAATGTGTGTGTGTGTGTGTGTGTGTGTTTGTAGGTCAGAGTTCAAAGCCAGGTATTTGCCTCAGTTGCTCGCTGCCTTATTCTTTGAGATAGACTGGGAACCTGGGCCCAGCAGTTCAGTTCTACTGACTGGTTGGGCAGAAAGCTCAGACATTTTCTGTCTGTAATATGTCAGTGCTGGGATCACAGGCCTGTGCTCCTGATTTTTATGTGGATACTGGACATCAGACATGGATAATCACATTTGCATGGCAAACACTCTAGGAAGCCATCTCCCTAGCCCCTGAATGTTTTATTTTAAAGTTATTGCAATTTTGACATATTGATTATTCTAAAATTGTTAATTATTTTGTATTAAAATTTTGTTTTATTTAACAAAAGGAGTATTATGTTAATTTTTTTCTGATGTGTGATCTGAATTTTACTCCTATGGATTTAGTTCTTTGATGGGACTGGAATAAATGCTGAAGTTCTGTCAGAGTTTGTTGTAACTTTTACAGTCTTGTTCCTCATATCAGAGTATAGAATTGACCCTTGGAAGTCAAAAGCAAGTATATTTTTGATGCCACATCAATTTGTATTATCTAAAATCGCAATATGACTCTGAGATGTGACTAGTCATCACTTTGCTGAATCTGCTGGAGCCTTATCACTTCTCTCACACGAAGCAGCCCCACGTGTGTCATTCCACAGTATCAACTTGTAACATCTTGCTTGGATTTCATTTTTTAACCCTATTGCCAGTGTAGCAAATGGATTTAAAAAAAAAAAAAACTTTCTTGAAACTACTTTTAAATAGTTATGCTTATAATAATTATTCTCCTTATCAAATCCCTAAGACGTCAGTGTTTTGAGGCAAATTAAATGTGGTATTTAACCAGTCATATACATGATTCATTTTAGGGAGAGAGCCCTATTTGGAGAATGTTTAACATTATGCCAGCTCACCATTTGGATATGTACATTTGTTTTTCTGCTAATGTTAACTTAAAAATGTCAAAGCAGGGCTTGCGTTACTGCTCAGCGGTTAAGAGCCCCCACTGCTGCTGCAGAGAACTCGACTTTCCTTTCTATGAGTGCTTCACAAACTCATTTAGATGAGCTCTGTAGTGCCTGAACCTCCATTTCCCGAGCGCACCTACACCTATTTGTACACAGATGTCCATATAAATACATCATTTAAAATGTATGTATAAAAGGAGTGCATTAGTTGCTTTTAGCCAAGGAACATGTTGATACCTCAGATCACGTTTAGTTTTTGATAAGTACGGGGATTATTACATTGATAATATGTAGGTACAATGGCTTTTGCGCAGGATTTTTAATATTATCATATAGGATGATATAGGAAGAACCTTTTATCTAAAATATTTTTCGTATTTCTCTTGTAAGTTTTTCATCAGGTGTTTGTTTTTATTTGTTGTATTAAATATGTGAATATTAACCTACTAGGGAGAAAAAAGTTTCTCTGACCAAAGTAGAGAGTAGCCCAGGTCAGTGGCCACAAAGACATATGTAGAAAGCAATTTTGACGATATTGCCATTTAGCAGGATTTTAATAGCCTTCTTTATCCCAGGGCTTATGACCTCCCCAGCAGTGAGCTTTTGACCAGGATTTCAGTGTCAAGCATGAGATGACTTCCTTTGTTGAGCTCCATCAGAATGCAGTTAGCTACCCCGTAAGAGTCGTGTCACAGGTGCACCAGCCGTGCAGTCTTGTCTGGTAGTTGATGTTGTTGCAGGTGGAGCCCAGCTCCCCAGCTCTGAGGAGTACCCTTTTTTCCCTCAAGCAGCCTGCGGAGTACCCTCTGGCACTATGAGAGACTAGCTTGCTCTTCAGTTTGAGTTAGATTTCTCTCTGACTTGCAGCCAAAGTGTTTAGCAATGTTGTTATTAACAGTGGCATTTTTTGTGGCTGTGGCGGGCACAAAGGGCAATGGCAACTGGCTGTGTTGTTTTGGAGATTGCTGGGGTTGCCTAGCCAGTAACTCATAGGGATATGCCTATGTCTGGCCCTGTGATTTTCATTAAATAACCTAATTCATCCATGCAGGGTAGTTCTGTTTGAATGCCTTTTTTTTTTTTTTTTTAACATATTCTTGCTTTTTGAGGTGAACTATTTACGATTAGCAGCCACTTATCTCCTATGGCTAGTATTTTGTAGACTGTCTTCCATGTGTCAGAGTTTCTGCATAGAGTAAATAAATATAAACAGGTCCATTATTGTCTGGTAGGGTGATAAGATAGTACCATGGGCATCGTCCCTAAAATGCAGTGAGAGTAAAGCTAATAATAATTACTAATGCATATTCAGTGTTCCTCTCGTATGCTAGATGGTTCTATGAAGTGTGCATTCTTTCCATCATCTAATTTTCACAATAGCCTTAAGCTATTTTTTTTTTTTTTTGGTATAGATAACAAAGCTAAGAAAATTAGGTCAATTAACTTCATAGAGTTGTCTGCATAGGATGGGACTGGGTGAAGGCTTGCCCTTAGCTCTCCCCAGATGCATTTGTGGGTTTAGAGAAATAAGTTTTCATGTCTAGTGTCAGCTGAGATATCTTTATCAGACTAGAATAATGAGAAGGGTCTGGGGAGAGTGATTTTGGACAACTGCATACAGAGATGCACTTGGTTTCACTTGCTGAGCACAGACCTTGTTGCCTAAGCCTTGAGAACAACTATTTTCTTATGCTTGTGGAGTTGAGAAGTCAAACAGGCCTTCCTACGTGAGGCAGCGCTGGCAGGGCAGTTCTGGAGCCTTCCAGGCCTTGGCCATCATGCCTTTTCAGCCTCTGGAGACCGTCCCTGTTCCTTATGCTTGTGGTTCTCTTAACAACATTCACTTCTCTGTGTCTGTCTTCTCTTGTTTTCTTGCCTTTCAACTCTTTTTGCTTTTAAGTGGTTACTCTTGGCCCACCAGGATACTCTAGGACAGTTTGTATTTTAATGTCAGTTCATTGTCAAGTTTCATTTCACTACAATTTAAAGCCCATCTTGCCTTGCAGTGTTGTCAGGGTTAGCATGCACATGCCATTGCAGGGACATTCCTGCTCAGTACAGGAAGTATGAAGAGCAAGTAGGAAGACAGGAAAGATGAAGTTGCAAGGGCAACAGGCATGTTGTCTATGACTTGTGTAAATCTGTTCAGTTGTCTGGAGATTCCAGCATATTTCATAATGGTGAGGCAGATGGTCTTAGAGTGAAGAATCTGATTGCCCAGGGTGAGAAATCAAGTCACTTCATGCTGAAATTTGAAGTAGCTGTGAGGTAAGCACTGTGATGATTTTCCCAGCAGCAGTTTGTCATGTGGGCTGGTATGGGAAGATGGAGAGATGCAGGGA